AATGATTACCTCTTTCAAAAACAATACTTTTCTCTATTTATTTCTCATATTGTTGAACAGGATTTTGCAAACCACTGACAGGTAATTTGACCATTGTTTACCAAAGCCACGTGGCATAGAAGATCGACGTCTCGCGTAGGTGAATCTGCGGTTTCGTGGTAGGGATGGGAGCATGTCAGCGGGACGAAAAGTGGGAGCAAGTATTGTTACAGGGTTGGCTAGAAAGAGGGGTGAAAGGGCTGGCCAATTGGGTCTGCGGTTGCGCACCAGTTCACTTTCATGTCTCGCTGTTTTCGATTCCACCGTTCTTCGCTCTCTCTGGTCCCGTTCAAATGGTACGCCATGCTATTTCGCTTAATGTCTCATTATCGTGTTCCACACGTTTCACCCGCCTGCATACTTTCATCCCCACTTGACCGCTCATTAATCCATCTTTCCTCTACATCGTGATAACGATTGCGCCTTTAAATGGACTCCAGTTTCTTCACCTCGCTATGCGATGACCTGAATTTCTTTATGGCGCCACACCATTAAAAAACTTATCCCGCTGATCTTGGACAGACTAAAAAGTGGGTCGGATGCTCGATCATTTATCCGTTAATTTGCCTCCTCCACGCTTTCTTATGTGTTTTATGCATTAAGTAATTGCTCGGTTTTTCTATGCTGGAATATTATCAAGTTTAATTGATTCCTCGAAACATTCCTCTCGGTTTTTCCAACAGTATACGTAGTTGAGCTTCTCTGAGAACGCATGAATCACGTTGTAGCGTGGAGGGTTAACAGCGGGTGAGAGGCCAGGTTCGTATTTCCGTTAAGGAGACCGATGCAGGGCTTCCAAGTCGTAGGGCAGCTAGCAAGGGAGAGACCGTATCTCATTGACCGTTGGTCAGCCCCGCAAGGGATCAATAAACACGACGTTCTCCACACGGACGATTCACAAACTGTTTCCACTATTCCGTCTTTAGGAACTACTGCGAAGGGAACTATTAGGCTTTTGGCAGCTTATAATTTTGCTCCTCTTCCCTGCAAAATAAAATCGTCGATTAAAGCGTGTACAGTTAAAGAATAACGCGGAATATTTGGCAGTCGGTGGTTGCATTCGAAATTGTAACGAAATAGTGATGCACGTAAGAGCGATAACACGATGAAAAATTAATGTTGCGCGATAACGGAAACGGCGAGGAACCAGTGGAAGATATAGCACCGATTACAGTCGGCTGTGAGTTGACGCAATCAATTATGTTCTGACCGTCTCTCGCAACGGCGTTACTACTGCGGTCGGAAGTAACAGTTTATTACTACTGCAAACCCTCGGTCGCAAATGTACGTAATACACACGTGCGCACGACAAGCGTTTATCGAAAGGCATCGATGCAACGCGACGTGACGTTGAACGATTCACATGGCTGACCGCAGTGTTGGAGGGACAACCAGTCGGGCATCGATGTCTCCGTTACTTTGATTGCTTAACTCTATATTCGTTACAATCGCATATGTGATTTCGCTTCTTCTTCTGTATTACTCAGTTGCTTCGTTAAGACTGAAAGAAACGATAAATTTTACAAGTAATATATTATCTCTTGTGAAACGAAAACGTAAGAAGGAGAAAGAAATCTTAAGATTTATGATTATAAGAGAAAATGACGCGAGTTATATGTTCATACTTTTCTTTGCATTGCGAAGTGTGATTTATTGTTCTTTCGTCTAGATCGAAGAGTACAATTAAAGAATAAAGATCTTTTTAAAAATGTAACTTACGTTGCTTTGCATTAGAGTTACGGAAATTTTTATCAGAATTTTACGCCTTTTCTGTATTATTAATTGTATTACGATTAATTTCACGGCTGCGAGATAAGCTAATAACGAAAATCGTTGTCGATAAATCGTCATCTTTCAAGCAGTGTTTCACAGCTGAATAACCGTGATTGTTTCTTTTTAATCGCCAGTGGCACGTTTCAAACGTGGGACAATCCGTCACGCACGTTTCAAGCTCGTTCTTCATTTTCATATCGCGCCGGCTTTTGCCGCGATAACGAGTCCTCCTTTCTTTCTGGAATGGTTGGTCGCAATGGCACTCGTGCACACATTTTCGTCCCCATAAATTTATAAAGGATATAGCAGCGTTGGATACTGTTCTTGAAAGAAATAATTGTCGACTGGTCTGAATTTCGTGTCAGCCAACTCCCTCCATGATATGTCACGAACTCCAACTCTAGACAGAAATTTGCACGTATCTGGCCTACATGCGTCACGAGACTAGGGGGAATACCCTCCTAAAAAGCGAATAAAATACGTAATTACAAAGAGCAGATTGGTAACGTGATAGTTCTTATGTTTCTGAAATGTCGTTCACGTGAGGATATTTTAAAGAACACGTGACAAATAGAAAAGTTTCGATAGCCATAATCTTGGTGCACCGAATTTCGCTGTGTTCTTATCGGTTTTGGGCCGACGAACGTATTGCATGCCAGACTGCAAATTAATTGCACATGCTCACCAAGAAAAAAGAGAAAAAAGTGAAGGCGGTAGACGAAACGTGTTCAAACGATAAACGAACTCCCTTGAGCTCGTAATTTTTTTTGATAACCCCTGTTGGTCCTTCTTTTTAGGTAGTTGTCGTTTTACGTTCTTTTAGTACAGAGTGCATGCCTGGTGGCAGTCCACTTTAATTGATATTATTACGTCGATCCTGTGAACGATATACTTCGAGTTATCGAGTAATTACGTGGTCATTCGATCTGATTCCAAATGGACGTAGTGCTCGCGTTGTAGAGTTTTCCATCGAAGCTACTGCTTCGTTTGGCATTCAACAATTTGTTACAGTTTATCGCTCAAAAATACCCTCTTGTAATTAGACCAGGTGTTACAGAAGGAAGGCTAAATATGCAGGGTGATACTTAATTACATGTCACTACTTTTCTGGCCAAATGTGGAACACAAAACGAGAGAGAACCGTTATTCGAAAATATAATCTAAGGATCTGCTGAAATTATGACAAACTAAAAAAAGAAAGAAATCAGAAAAGCATGTATACCTCCACCTTTACATATTACTAAAAAAAAAAATAAATTAATATAATTAAGTATGAGGCTGTTTCACGCAACCAGAAGTTCCTTCTAATTATCCTCGTAAGAAAAGCTCGCGAGCTTACCCCTCCAGGTATCGACACGCAATTGAACGACCTGCAAAACAGAAGGGGACGTGTAAGTGTGAGTCCGAAGTGGTCAGAATGTTGCTCAGTTACCTACTTTCTTTCTCCCCTCCATCTCACGTTATCACGGAACACGCAAATTCGTGTTTCTGTTCGCATTGTAATCCGTGGCTCGACTCATTTATCGCTGGTTGTCGCGCTGAATATGTATGAGGTTCGAATTTGAAATAAATGAATTTTGGTAAAAGTCGATTACAACAGCATTTGGAGAAAACCAATGGCGATTCGTTGTTTTCTTCTGTGCGTACTACACAATCCACACACGTTTTCGCCACATGACGTGTATACTCCGATCGACGATATGTAAATCACTGCGGCATCCCGTCTGTATGGCATTCGTTGCCTTTTAACCAGACTGCCTGCACGCTTGTCGCAGAACGTTCGCAGGACAACTACCCTGTGTGTTACACCCTTTCTCTGTGTAGCACGTTCGCTCGTCACGCACCTTCTGTAATATATGTCAATTACGATTTCAACTTCTTGCATACATAAGGAGACCCGACATCGGCCGATAAGCGCCTAATGAAGTACAGAATGAGACAAAAGTAATTCAAGTCGTAATTTCGACGCTTCGAAGTGGTAGGAAAAATAGTAACTAAATCGTAACAATAGTATGCCTGCATTCACACATATTATTTCCATCAAGCTTCTTCGTATGAATTTAAAATGTCCAGTTGTATTACTTTCGTGACATCTCATAAGATCTATCTGGATTACAGAAAAAAACCTTGGTCTTACTGTTTGTGAATCTTGATGACTAAAGTTAAACTACCCTAAATAGGAGAAAGATTGTTCTTTTCATAACGTTGCCCTTAACTTGCAATTATTTTTATTTTAAGAATAAAAACAGTTACCTAGTTTTAGACGTGACGAGAATAATGTACTTTTAGCTGTGTACAAATTGTAGTAATTCGTCAAAGTCCTGCTTGATATATCAGGCATTAAGTGATTTGTAGATGATTAAGTAGAACATTCTTGGTGCATCGTATTTCAATCACATGTTGCGCAACAATGCTCTGCAAAAATATTTATTTCTTAATTATTCCAAGGCGTATATAGGTTTCGTAGTAATTCTATGAGCGATTTTTACATTAATATCTTACACAACATGCATGGAACTAATATTAGGCAGCGATCATCGCGAAAAATCAGGGTTATGTATACGCCACGTGAGATCATGGATAAGGGAAGAAAAAAAAATGTTTCGTGTTAATCGGCACGGCCGAATTAACCCAACGATAGTTGTGCAAACGGCTTATCAGTGCAGGGAGTCTTATCACTGACCAATTATCGTACCGCCCATATGCATCGAATGCTGTATTAAAATTATTTGAAATATACTTTTTCTCATCACGAATTTCTAACAATTTAATATAAGAAACAAATAGTGTATTGGTCAAAATAGTGATCATCTCTCTAATTAAATTATTTGATTTTACTAAATTGCCCGAATAATTGAATCAGTGGTGCAAATGACCTGGCGCCAAAAGTTAAGGGTTGTAGCACAGTCAGACGACCTTTAGACGCTCTCCATTCTCTTATCATTGGGGTAAATGGTCAAGGGGGATATATATCGTGTTTCATGTTGCAAACCAGTGTCCCTATTCAGAGGGAGTTCCTATTCACTTAACTTTCTGTTAATATTATGTTATTATAAACATTTTTCTGAATATAAATTAAGTATGAAGGTGATAATATGAAAAACTAGATATGGAGGTTGAAATATTCTTAATAACCTTTATAGGTTAGTATTCCTCTTAATTGTTGTCTATAGTACATTCTAGAAATTGCCGGATTTCATTTTCCCAGAAACTGGAGGTCACGACTAATCGATGATGCATGAGTAAGTTCGATGTTGGACACCTGAAAGGTGATTAAAGTGCTCCAGTATATTAAGAAACATAGCATTCTTTAGACAATATGTAAAGATAAGCATTTAGATAAAGTACTCAATTATTTTACTGCTACAAATGAGAAAGACTTACAAACATTTTATTTATCAGTTTAATTGCATAAATATTGAACAACATGGTTGTTGTAGCATAAAACTGAATCAACACACGGGGTGTACGACCGGGTAAATGCGTGAAAAGGTTAAGGGTTGTAGCACCCATGGTGAACCCAGAGGGTGCACCCACGCGTATTTTCGTTGCGCCTTCCATTCGATCTGCATCGCATACCACGAGCCGGAAGATTGTTGCACCGTGACCTTGGCCTTGCAAACATATACATTGACTCACACGTACTGCGGTTCGCTTTGCGAATCGTAATTTATGGGGACAGTCTCGTAAATTACGATGAAAACTATCTGGACTCCTCGTGAATGGACTTTCCTTTCTTCTTTCTTTCTTACCTCTCGAAGTTACATAGTTTTTCTTAACCAGTCGATCAGAATGGTATTTCGTGTTGCAATATCTTGCAAAATGTTCACCTAAAACGTTGAGCACTATAAGTAATAGGTACTATATAATAAGAAAAAGATAGTTATTTCGAACGATTACAATGTCTACTTCAAATTATCGGGTCACTTCTTTAAAAGAAACGCACGCAATATTTGTGAGTTTTTATTTCGACCAGCGACATCTTATAATCTCTTCGTTGTCGTGTCGACGTCGTCGATGTCGTCAAAGGAGTATATTTAGTATGTGATTCACATTCTTCAATTTCTGATTCATAAACATTTTTGTAAGGGGCCCGTCGTGATGAAAGAGATGGATTGGAAGAAATATATTGATATGAGTTGTTGTAATTTCAAGCTTACCTGGAATTTATCAGGTTTGCGGAAACAACGTTGACTTGTAGACCAGTTTTGCTTGTAATGGAATGGTAAGCTTCACTGATGATGTAAGAGTACATCTCGGCATAGAATGCGGTCACACTGGTTTCACGTGGAATAAGGCGAAAGGCCTTCCAGATAGTTACAATAAAGAGGCCAGCAGCCTTGGACAGAATTCATGAAGCTCGTCAAGAGTCTAGCACGTGAGAAATTTCATTGGTAACGCTGAAATTTAGACGGTATTTTAATGGGAACGATCAGTTTGCCCATGTACGAGAAACTTGGAAGTTGTATTTGTATAATAATATTAGGTATTTTTTAATTTAAAATATATTAAATTAAATATCCAATTTATAATCTCATTCATATAATGTGAGCAATCTATTGAAAGAAAATTAGATACCTTAAATTCTTATGATTATAAACTCCACAAGATTTCAATCGATTCGTCAGCTGATTCATGATGCAAAAAAATTGCATATCTTTTTTACTGTTCAAATGTTCTACCTACGAAACTCGTGTCTCGAATCCATTAAACGCCTCACTTAACCGGATTGCGTTATCATGAGTACTTATTAGATTTTACATGAATAATTTGAACTTGAACTGTCTTTAATCGTTTCCCTGACGTCTTAAAACAATTTTTAGATATGCTCATTTACTAATGCATATATTTTTTAAAATGGCAGTAATTCTGAGAGGAAAAAATGCTGACAACTCCCCTAAGGGTTAAGCTTACGTCACAGCGGGTGCATTACCGTAAGGGTTGCACGGTTGGACAAGAATGAGAAGATCGTTCGACCTTCACCTTGTGTTAATCTATGCTTCCATTATCATACCAATCCCATCAAAGCTGGCATTGCATTACAACTGCACGAGGATGAACACGAATTTGTTATTGGTCGATCGAGCTACCTTTTAATAAGAAATTTCTCTGAAACACATTCGTATAGTCACTCAGATCAATTAATATAATTTAACGGGAATTACCTGAAGTAATAGGATTGTCTAGTATTATAAAATTTTGTTACTTGTCACTGGTAAGCCAGGAAGAATTGTAAGAATAGCAATCAATTGTAAGGTCATCGAATCTCTGGCACTCTGCCGACAGCAGCATGCGTGTCTTAAATTCATAAATCGGTTTATTAGACTAATAAACTCGTTAATATTTTTTTCTCAACCTTTTCGACTTAGAATAATTGACCCCATTTAGTCAATCGAAATAAATCGGTCTGACCCGATGCTACTTTCTGTTGCAGAACATGATCCTTTTTTTCTAAAGGCTGCAAAGGTTGTTTCCAATCTTATATTTTATCCGGAATTTTCATCAATAGGTGTTTATCATATCTGCCAAATTAAAAGGTTCCATTTAATAAAATTTTCAAACCATGCATCATAATTTATCATATTTTGTCGAGAAACTAAGAAACAAGAAAATCTACGTTAAACCTGTGCTAAACGTTGATGATATATAGAACCTTGCTACACGATGAAACTCATACACGTGAGATGAAGATAAAAAAAAATGGTACACTTATCGTGAACTACTTTTAAATTGGTCATAAAGTATGTAGATGTAATATGTGGAGCTTCATAAACATCCTTTATTAACTATCACGTAAATATTCTATTAGCTTTTATCAATACGAAATTACGATTATAAGAATTAAGTGCAATTATTTTGCTTCGATAAATTTTCGACTAAAGATAAACACAAATTCTAAGATAAGATAAACACAATACTAAATTTTCTTTCTCGAAGAATTCTTGTATTACTTTGAATGCGTGGCGCACAAATTTTTGACCGATAGTCAACGTGTCATACGATTTGGCGAGCTGTGCACCTCCAACACACAGGGTGGCTGTTTGGCCTTGAGACACGATGGCACTCCTGGAAAGGAGGTAAAGGGTAGGGGATGTTGCAGCCAGGGGGCTGGTTCTCCAGCCCAATGGGGCAGCATACACCCCGCCTCCAGTTGTCCATCGAGCACAGTCGGGGTTACACCTAGTGGCACAACCTTCTCACGATCCTCTTTTCCTCCGGACATCACGTTTTCACTCGTTCCGATCGCAATTCACTTTGCGATCAGCTGGTACGATTAGAAGGCGTCGCCTGGAGGTCGTATCGACACACGCAATAGGCATTTGCTACAATAGTTTTTGGTTCGTTTTTATGAACCACGTCATTCATGCAAGCAAATTAAAGTCTTCCAATCTACGGAGTATAATTTGTATTATTAAAAGATAGTAGCAGTCCATTAAAATTTACACGAATATATTAAAACTGAACTACAATTCTTCAGTTTATTATATGATATTATTGGAAAAATCGAAAAGTTGATTTAAAAAGAATCAGTGATTATTGTGGACCAGTGATGAATAAGAATGTGAACCAGCAAGGATAAAGTTTGTTGTTCAGTGAAAAACGTGCCATAAGGACTGTGAATATCATCGTTTCGGACTACAGTGATTTAAGTTCACCATTGAGTCGGCAAGTTCCTCGTCCCGTTCGGACTTGGAGCCGGACTTTGGCGTCGGTGGAGACAAAGCGGACTCCTATAGCGATTCCGAGCTAGAGTCCTGCAGCCCCGAATCCTGGGAGGGCTGCGACAGTTTTGTCGTGTTGATGAGCGATTCTTTTGAAGTTATATCGCTGCCGGCCGACATGTTGCAGGTCTACGAAATTCTACCTAAATTATGCTATAGTGGGTGAAACGAATATAGTGAGATATCTCGTGTTATTTAGTGTTACTAATTAAAAAGAATCAATTGAAGTTCTTCCATAAATTCTTATTTAAATTTCAAGGTCATTACCATAATTCCACTATATTTGTTTAACCAATTATATACCAGTGCTGATCAAAAACGAATGAATCTTTGGTGTAATTCGTTTTTAATTTGTTACTTAACACTTAAACTAACAGCCGGCCAGCTACGGAAAGAAGAGCAACACCTGGTACACGAGTCCTACTGGCGGAGGCAGCAGAGGTGGAGCAAGCGTCGGAGGTGGTGTTGGAGGATGGCAAAGCAGACCACCAGCGGTGGCGAGTCTCAG